AAATGGATGGTCAGATAAAATTTTCAAGAAATTGCTTCATTTGCTAAAACAAATGCTACCAGAAGATAACAATTTGCACGATCGTTGTTAATATGCCAAGATATTGTGTCCATTGGGTTTGGAGTATATCAAAATACATGCATGCCTTAATGACTGCATATTATACAGGAAAGAGTATGGAAATTTTGATCAATGTCCGGAATGTGGGGTGTCGGGTTTCAAGTTGAAGGACAACAATGGTGATGATAATGACAATGACAATGTTAGTAGGAAGAGGCCTCCTAATAAAGTGTTATGGTACTTGCCAATAATTTCAAGATTCAAGAGGCTTTTTGCTAATGCGGATGACGCAAAGAATATTATATGACATGCAAATGAAAGAAAATGTGATGGAAACATATGTCGTTTAGCTGATTCTTTGCAATGGAAGAAAATTGATTCGTTATTTCTAGATTTTTGCACTGAGCCAAGAAACCTTAGGCTTGGGCTTGCCATCGCTGGAATGAACCCCTTTGGTAATATGAGTACTAATCATTCTCTATGGCATGTTCTTCTCATGGTTTTTAACCTATCTCTTTGGATGTGCATGAAGCGTAAGTATATGTTGTTAAGTATGATGATTTCTGGACCACGATAGCCTGGAAACGACATATATGTTTATCAAAGTCCATTAATTGAATATCTAAGACTTTTATGGAAGGAAGGCATTGAAGTTGATGATCCATATTCTGGTGAAAAGTTTAAGATGCGTGCAATGTTATTTTGCACAATCAACGACTTTCCTGCATATGGTAATTTGGCTGGATATAGTGTCAAAGGACACAAAGAGTGTCCTATTTATGAATCTGATACATGTTATCACCAACTTGAGTTTGAAAAAAAGACTGTTTACCTTGGGCATCAGAAATTTTTAAAATCTGATCACTCTTATCGTAGATTCCGAAAGGCTTTTAATGGAGAGCAAGAGTTTGATATTGCTCCTAAAACTTTAATCGGGGATGAAGTTTATCAATGACATAAACACATTAATGTTGTCCTTAGAAAGAGACAAAAAGAAAAAGGGTAAGTTGTTGAGAAAAATATATGGAAAAAGAGGTATGTGTTCTTTGATCTTCCATATTGGTCAAATCTCGATGTAAGACATTGTCTTGATGGGATGCATGTGGAGAAAAATGTGTGTGATAGTTTGATTGGAACACTTCTAAACATTCTAGAAAACACTAAAGATAATAAGAAATCTCGTCTAGATATGGAGGCGATGGTTATAAGAAAACAATTGGCTCCAATAGAAAAAGGGGAAATAACTTATCTGCCACCGACTTGTTACACTATAGGTAAAAAGGAAAAGAATTTTTTTTGCGAGTGTTTGCATGGTTTCAAAGTTCCCCAAGTTTAATCATCAAACATCAAGAAACTTGTATCAATGAAAGATCTCAAGTTAATTGATTTGAAATCTCATGATTGTCATGTCTTGATGCAACAACTTTTACTAGTGGCTATCCGTAGCATCCAACCAAAAAATGTGAGAGTAACTATCACCAGATTGTGTTTGTTCTTCAATGCTATATGTAATAAAGTTCTTGATTTCAAAAATTAGATGAATTAAAAGATGAAGCTGCAATAATCTTGTGTCAATTGGAGATGTATTTTTCTCCATCATTTTTTGACATTATGGTTCACTTACTTGTTCATCTAGTTAGAGAAATAAGAATTTGTGGTCCAGTTTATTTAAGGTGGATGTATCTAATAAAGAAATACATGAAGATCTTTAAAGGATATACGAAAAATCATCATTGATCAGAAGCTTCGATTGTTGAAAGGTACATCACAGAAGAAGCTATTGAGTTTTGTACAAACTATTTGTCGGAAGCAGAGTGTATAGGAACTCCAAATCCTCGTCATGATGATGATGAAGGTAGAGGTATTCAAGGTTTAAATGTTAAGTTAATGGCTCGGGATGTAGTTATTCAAGAACATTTCTATATATTGAATAATCTTGAAGAAGTTCAACCTTACGTGTCTACTCACAAATGACTTTTGAAGAAAAAATATCTACGAATGAGTGACAAGTTGTTGTTGATCGAACATAACAAGAAATTCCTAGATTGGTTTAATAAAAGGATACCAAAAGATCATAATGCATCCGAGACAATTAAATGGTTGTCGTTCATGCCAAAATTTAATGTGATAACTTGGTCTGCATATGGCATTGGTCATTATACCTTTTATACAAAATCAAAAGATGATCGTAGTACAATGCAAAATAGTGGGGTTATGGTTGAGGCTGAATTCATGTATTTCTCTAGTTCAAAAGATAAGAATCCAATATTGACATCTAGTGCGTTCTATGGTGTCATTGAAGAGATTTGGAAGATTTATTATGTTATATTCAGAGTGCCTTTATTTAAATGCAATCGGGTTTCCAATAATATTAATTGTGTACAAACTGATGACTTAGAATTCACCTGGGTTGATCTTGGCAAGACAAATTATATAACTGAACCATTCATCATGACTTCACAAGCAAAACAAGTTTTCTATGTGACTAACCCTTCAAACACATCGGAGAAATGGTCAATCGTTCTCTGAGGAAAAGACATTCGTATTAGTGATGAAAGTGTTGATATTCCTTCTATTCTCTCTTACACAACAAAAGTGCCTACCACTTATAATGAAGTTGATAGAGACGATGTGTGTGCTATTCGTATCGATCATAATGAAGGCATATGAGAAAATTAACAAGTCATTAGTATTTTATTATTTATTCATAATTTAATTAATGTAAGTCATTATTTCTAAGTATACTTACTAACAAGTACGACTATTTGAAATTGTAAGTGTTTAAAGTCAATACACCAAGGGACGAGACACCAAGAGACAAGACACCAAGAGACAAAGAAACTAAAACACTATAAGATACAATTATGTGATGTTATATAATGTTTGTAGGTTGTTTTGTGCCATTTTTCTTTTGATGTAATACATATATAATGTTTGTTTCTTAATCCAATGTATGGGTTTGATGTAATACAATACAATTCTATATTATGATACAATTGTTGTTTCTGTTCTGATATGGCTCAAAAAAATACAAGTTAAAAAATGGAAAATTTTCAAAATGCAGAAAAATCATTTTTGAAAAAGCATATAATTTAACGATGGTTGTAATATATAACAGTGGTTGTATAGTGAACGTTGTCCAGAATAATATATTACACCAAAAGATGCGCTGTTGAGAATTGAACCTGAGACTTTTAATATATTACAACGACTAGTTATAGCAATCGTGATCATATATAGCGCGCTTTCAAGTTTTCTACAATGGTCATAAGACTGTGATTGTAAGTATCGCATATACAACCACGCCCTACGTAATAACGGTAGGTCACACATGATATTATCCATTTTCCAACCATTGTTGTACATGTTTTCCGTAGTAGTGCATTGATCTTTTAGTTTGTAAGTATATTTAAACATTATTTAAATTACTTATTTATATATATATATATATATATATATATATATATATATATATATATATATATATATATATATATATATATATATATATATATATATATATATATATATATATATATATATATATATATATATATATATATATATATATATATATATATATATATATATATATATATATATATATATATATATAATAAATAGGTTTTTATATAGACCAACAGACTAATCAGACATTCAAAAAGATCAGATTCAAACTTAAAAATAAATTTATGACATACTACATATTAAACTTAAGTTTTGATTTTTTTAGTATGACAGATTTAAATTTAACAAAATTTAACTCGCCATAACCTATTTTCATCCAACTTCTCCTTTTCTCTCAAACCTATGAACGTTTGCAAATAATTTTTCTAAATATTTTGTTTTGTCGGAATAATCACTTGTCAAACTAAAAAGAAAAGAATAATCTCATACAACTCTTTTGTTTTGAGTTTGTCTAGGAACGATGTGAGAAAAAAAAATAGTCGATGTGTCTCCCCTTTGTATGGACTCCCTCCGATTTGAACTTCTTGCTTCTGGTGTCCCAACGCGAGGCTTTCCTTCCAACTAGCTTCCATTCGCTTCCATTCACCTTCAACGCATAGCTTTCCTTCAACACGTGGCTTTCCTTCCATGATCTTGTTTTGCTTGGTACAGTTACATTTCTATCTCAACACGTGGCTTTCCTTCCATGAAATTGATTTACTTGGTACAGTTACATTTCTATCAAGCATAGCATGTGATGTAATTCTTCACTGCATGTTGAATGAAGCGTGCTCTTCAGCCATATACTATTATTGACTCTTTCAATAGGAATCCATCACCATATGCATTTTTTCTGATCCAAATTTGGTTTCCACCGAAATAACGAAGAAATTCCAAAGCATGCTTTTCTGCCATGTAGTAGTATCATTAACTCGTTCAACAGGATCCTTTACCATACGCGGCATTATTATTTAAGTCGCTGCGCAAATTTTCAGTAAATTAATAGTGGCACAGTCCTACCTCTTTTACTATGTCACCAGAAATTTCAGTTAATTAATTAATATCACTAGAATTATCACTAGAATTATAAAAAAAAAAAAAAACATAATTAAAAGAAAAGTATCTATCCTATAATCCTATAAGAAGATATTAATCAAGTTGTATACTAAAAAAAATCTAACTAAAAACTATTAAAATTTAATTTAAATTATTTTATATATATAGTAATTTATATTACTATTAAATAATAATATAAATGTTAATTATAATATTATTTTATTCTTTAATCTAGTTATTAATGTTATATATATTTTTTAATAAAATTAATTTATTTGTAGCAAAATTACACCAGATTCCTTAAGTTATTTTTAGTAACAGGTTGGTGTATATTTTTTTTTCTTCTGTTTTCTGTATTCTATATATATTGTTCTAGTAGTTCAGTAGTAATAACTAATTCAAATCTCCTGCCAACCGCTGCCGAGTAATCAACAGCCATGGTTTCCGCTGGAGCTTGTTTCTCCCCCACCGTTTTCTCCCCACTCTTCCGCCGCAACCAGCCGTCTCAGGTCTTGAAACTGAAGTCGTGCAGTATTCTGAGCATAGCCCCCGCTCGTTTTGCCATGTCAGTCAACTGTGTTCGAGCAATGGAGGAGAAGCAGAGACGGAGCGGTTGGAAGGAGTATTTGGAACAAGCGAAAGAGATGATAGAAGCAGACGGTGGACCTCCGCGGTGGTTTTCGCCGTTAGAATGCGGTTCGCAGTTGGAGAACTCTCCTCTGATGCTGTTCTTGCCAGGTCAGTCATTGTTTCGTTATTAGTTGCTGAAAAACTTCAAACCAATACATAAATCTAAGGTTTAATAAAAAGATTTCCATATTAATACATATTAGCTATATTTTCTATGTCATCTGAAATTTCTATATTCATACATATTAGCTATATTTTCTATCATTTGAAATTTCCATATTCATACATATTAGCTATATTCATAAATATTTTCCATATTTCCATAGTTTAAATTATTTTAATAGTATTACAGCAGGATTGTACACTCGCGTCTGTCTTTTGTGTTAAATGAAAATTTTTTAGTTTAAATCATTTAAAAACATTACAGACAGGATTTTATTATTCTCGGTGAATAGAAGGATCCATAAAAATTTGAGAAAAAAAGTGAAATAACTTAAATAATAAAAGTAAAATTTAAGGGCTATAGGATTATAAAATATGAGAGACGGACCACATCCATTAAATTTGGTAGGAATGATCCAGCAATGTATATAGAAGAAGCATTTAATTTGTCAACTCTTCAACTAAATTTGACACATATTTTCATCATCCATTAAATTTGGAAGGAATGATCCAGCAATGTATATAGAAGGAGCATTTAATTTGTCAACTCTTCAACTAAATTTGACACATATTGTTGCGGTGGAAATAGGATATCAAACTATTAATTAGTTTGAATCACAATTCTTGATTCACAACCGCTCTTTGATTTATCCGAAGGAAAAGGTCAAAAGAGTTGTAAACACAATGCGGGGAGAGACCTAGGTAAGGGGTTGGTTAAGCTTAGGGAAGGTACTAGCACCCTAAACTTCTGTAGTACTCTACAGGAACCTTTTGTTTATTGTATGCTTTTTTATTTTATTATTTGTTTGATGTATATATTGAGCTAAGGGATAGAATGACCTAAAGACCTAAGGGTTAGTCCTAAGTTTACTCGGCAAGACATCGCATCTTGTGCCTATGTATCCTGGATAGGGAATGGAATCAGAGTAATCGTAGTTTCCCTCGAAAGGGAGGTTAGAAACGTCTTGACTGTGGTCAAGGTTTCAAGGGGAGTAAACATATTTTAAGGACACGCTTACGTGGAGTCTTTGAAACTCCTATTTCTATGTTGAATTTGTTAATTGAAAATTTAGGGTTGAAATTAGGGATTCCACGGCGGGAAACCCTAAACAGAGTACGGCGACTCTTTGACCTAATGCTAAGGTAAAGGGCATTTTCGTCCACGGCGGGACACCTAGCTATTAGGGTTTTTAAAACGGTCAAAAATTAAGGTTATTGACTCGGCGGTCAAACGGCTAGACCTAATTCCTTTGGAGGGATTCTAACGGTAAAAACATGCAAAATACGACAAATTACTATTCAGCAGAATTAAAGTGCGGAAAAATAAAGAAAGCGGTAAAAAAAGCATCGCGACGATCACTCGCGTAAATTACAAATTCCCAAAAAATGCAAAATAAAATAACCGCGACCATGGCCTCGCGTAAATTACATCCATGGAACAAAAACGAACAAATGAAATAATAACGAGTTGAAACAAACAAATTAACGAGGGTTAGACAAAAATGAAACGGCTAAATCAAAACTTATTTCTTTTTGAGTTTTTATTGAGAAGAGGAGAGGAGAATTAATTTCATGATTAAATGGAGAAACTATTCTAATTATTTACTAAAAATTTTAATAAAGAAACTGATTTTAATTTTAATAAAAAAATGCCTTGAAAAAAATGTTTTAATTTTATCGAAAATAAATGTTTTAAATTTTAATTAAAAAGATGTTTTAAATTTTAATGAAAAAATTTGATTTAAATTCAACAAAAAAAGGTTTTAATTTTTGTTTTAGTGAAAGAAAGGTCATTTTTTAATTTTTGTGTTAACTTAATGAAAAATGGTTTTAATTGGAAAAAAGCTTTAATTAAGAAAAACTGTTTTATTTAAAAATATGTTTTTAAATAAAAAATGGTTTAATTTTTGAAAAAAACCTTTTAGAAAGATATTAATTTTTAAAAAACCGATTACGTTATGTTTTTTTGTTTTGTTGAAATAGCTTACCTAAACTTAATTGCATTATTAATTACAAACTACATAGTTAATATAAATGAAAAAATAAACAATTGAATAATAAAATAAAAAAATGAAACGTAAATAAAAAGGCTTCTGCCGTTTTCTCCATGGATGACTATCGAAGCTTTTCCTCTCCTTCAATCCTTGCATGTCATCTTCTATTTATTCTTCCCATTAATCTACAATCAATGAACAAAACAATACACAAAAATCATAAAATGTCGTAAATCAAAGGAAAGAGAAAGCTTACCGTAACGACGATGATGTTGAACGAACTGAGCCTCCGCCGTTGGGACTTTTTGCTCGCCGGTAGCGCTTGGCCGATGATGAATTCAAACCTTTTAGGATTCTTCCAAAAAAATTCCCTCTTCTGATAAATCGTGAGAACGACCGCCGTTTTTTTTTTCTTCCTTTTATCAAACGCAACTCATGTTTATATATGTAACAAATTAGGGTTAACTCTAACCTAATGTCCACTTTAAAGCCCAACTTAAATAATTAGTCAAAGTTAAAAACACAAACTTAAAAGAATAAAATATTTTCTAATATTTTTAATTTTATGATTTTTGGATGTTTTTATGAATAATATGGAAAAAAAAGTAAAAAAAATAATATTTTTTAAAAAATAATTTAAATAAAATACGAAAATAATAATTAAATAATAAAAAAAACTATTTTTGTTATTTTTTTTTATGAAAATAGAAAAGTTAGATTAAAAATAAAAGAAAAACAAAAAATGAAAAAGGTGGGATTCAAACTCTCAACCTCTCACACTCACAACTCCTTACACAGGGTCTCTTGTCAATTGTGCTATTTTATTCATTCAAAATAAAGTGGCACTAGAAACCCTGTAAACTAAAAGAGCGCGCCACATAATATTTTCTTGCAACAATCAAACAATTGCACCACCCGTTAGTGGTTAGTTTAAATGCAATGCACAATGAAATGGGATGCAAGATGAAACGACTAATTTTAGGGCAAAATTTGGGGTATTACAGTTGCCCCTATTTAAATAGCTTCACCGGATGATTTGAGCGACAAAGGCTCGAGAAATCATGGTGGAGGAATTTAAATATAGATAACCGAAAATTTTGCCCTTAGATGCAGTGATATGCAATACTATGGACAAAACGAAAATAAACTATAATGTTGACAATGCCATGAATTTAGTATGGTGCGTATGATGGAATGGTAAATGCAGAGATGCAGACGACACGACGACATAGGGGACAGACGCGACGAACCACACTGGGGAATACGATGCACTGGATGACAGCACGACCCTGGGGGAATTCTAACGATGATGGTCAACTGGTGCTAGCATGACCAATTTTCACCTTTAGAAAGGAAAGGTAAGAGCGAGATCCTCAATGGAGATGGCACCGATGAGACGGTCTCCACTTGGGAAAATTTAGGAGTAATTATTCAACAGGTTCAGGCGTGACCGGCTGATATTCTAGAGTAAAAAATAAAACTGGATCTGCACGACTGTAGGATCGATTAACAAGATGCTGGAGCATTGAGCAAAGAATAACATCCGAGCTTCTGGAAACTCTCCCTCGTGACAGGATCAAACGGAATTACAGGGTAAAATCGACTGTATGCCAAAATAAATGGACTTTAATGGGAAATGCCCTGATAAGCCTCTCGAGAGAGAATAGCCACTTATCGTTGGAAGGGACTTATATGCCAAACTGGATGAGCTCTCAAATAAAGAGGTTGTTGCTTATCTAATTAATAAACCTCCTCATATCTAAGGTCGGCGCCATGGACATATGATTCAGATTCTTCTTTTACTAAAGGGTAAACTGAACTTCCTCATACTTCAAGATTCACACTCTCCTGAATATGATTCTGCTCCTTCTTTTACTAAAGGGTAAACTGAACTTCCTCATACTTCAAGATTCACACTCTCCTGAATATGATTCTGCTCCTTCTTTTACTAAAGGGTAAACTGAACTTCCTCATACTTCAAGATTCACACTCTCTTGAATATGATTATGCTCCTTCTTTTACTAAAGGGTAAACTGAACTTCCTCATACTTCAAGATTCACACTCTCCTGAATATGATTCCGCTCAAACCTCCCCTTTCTTCAAAATGATACGGGAAATGGAAACCAAACTGCTCGCTAGAGATGGCCATTTGCTGCGAGTTATAACGAAGATAGGATAAGCTTCTCGGGCGAGAAATGCCGCTTATTTGCAAGAGTGGCAATAATAAGCTTCTCGGATGAGAACTGCTTGTAGAGGTGGTAACAGGTAATGTAAATTGTAAAGAAAGTTGTGATGATGTCAAACATCTAGATCACTGAATGATAACAGGTAACATAAATTGTAAAGAAGGTCGTGATGATGGCAAACATCTAGATCACTGAGTGATAACAGGTAACATAAATTGTAAAGAAGGTCGTGATGATGGCAAACATCTAGATCACTGAGTGATAGCAGGTAACATAAATTGTAAAGAAGGTCATGATGATGGCAAACATCTAGATCGCTGTAATGTAAATTGTCAAGAATGTTGCGATGATGGAAAACATATAGATCACTGTAATGTAATAATGAGCTCCTTGTATGAGAAGATCAATTGTAGAGTGTATTGTAAAGTGTAAGGTAGGTGATAAGCTCCTCGGCTGGGAACTGTTGCTTATCTATTATGCAATGTAGTGATAAGCTTCTCGGGCAAGAACTGTCGCATATCTGCAAAGGATTGTAAATGCTTTTCTTGAAAGATAGCGAAAAATAAATGCACGTCCAGGTAGGTTCAGTGACCGACGGGACTGAAGTTCGATCTAGAATTAGGCTAGAAAGAACGGACAAACAAAACTCCATTAAGGAAACGGACTCGAATGGGGACTACCTTATCCTAACGCGGAAAGGTAACGGAAATAGCCATCGTCCACGAGGGTTGAACTCTGTGGGGAAACTGGAAACAAGTAGGTATTTTATGCTTAGGGCTGACGTTCTA